CATTTTCATTTGTATCGATGCCGTTGTTGCAGTAACTTGATAGCTTGCTAACTTGCTTGCTAGCTTGCTTGCTTGCTTGCTTGCTTGCTTGCCTGTGTCGATTCGGAGAAGAATACTACTACTATCTGCTTGATGTTTGCTTTTAATCATTTTTGCCGGAGCCTGGCGAAACGTAAATCTCATAAATACATAAATACAAAAACGGGTGTATAGCCTCCGGCGAATCAGCGACGTTAGCACGATCCCCTTACCCCCTGCCCCACCAACTCTACCAGTGTATTCCTCTTCCAACCACCCCCTTCATCCCAATCCCTACTCCCACACATCCATTTCCACCTCCTCCTGTATTCCAACCCCAACCCCAAACCCCCTCGAATATAAAGTGCTTCCTTCAAACGGTCCCTGTTTCCTCACGCATCCAGGGGTGAAACGTAAATTATCGTTGATTTCTTCTCTCTACATTCGCGACGATTGATTAGGGAAAATATAAAAAGAGAGAAAGAGAGAGATGAACTATCTATCATCCGATTATTAAATCATGTGTTTTATTATCTATCATTTATTCCTGATTATTATTATTATTCGTATCCAATGTTTTTCTAAATGCACCTTTGTTAAAACTTTGTCATGTAATTTTTCAAAGTTAATAACAAATAAAAAGAATAATCTCAAGCCAAGGTGGTGGTGGTGGTGGTGGTGGGGCTGGGAGAGGAAGGTAGAGAAAAATTGTCGAGCGCATATATGCGTCCACATAGCAGCATTATCAAAGGGTTAACACATTTCCCATGCCAAGCCAAGCAATTTTTGCTTGAATTGTCGTTCAGGTCATTTGATATTCAGCGGATTCAATAAATATGACTGCGTGTACCACCGGTGGTACACAAGGCACGGAACTTGTTAAACGTTATTTAGATATCTAATAGAGAGTTATGGGAATTATTAATTAGGCATATTAATTATGATCATCCACTTGGCAATTGAACAATGATGATATTAAATTGTTGTCTAACTTGTGTTCTCATTGTATTATTGTTAATTTTCTCTTACATGCACTTATACATATACCAACACGCCACGTGTATATATGATAGTCATGTGTATTAGGATGTATAGTGAATGATCAAAGAGAATATTTTATAAACTAGATCAACGGAAATGCCTGTTCTCGTTTAGTATCTAGAATCGTTTGGTTATTAGCCTCGAGAATATCTCTCTGCCACCCCTTTTCCACCCCTATACATATACGTATACATATACACACATACACAAAAGCTTCCCTATTCTAATATCCCCTTTTCCTAATTGTTGGTCAGAATTATTTCGAATCCGATTCTCACGTAAATTGTCACTGAGACACCTTGCATTACAAAGTGAAATTGATTGGTACTGTTGTTGTTGGTTGGTTTTTTTTTCTTTTCTTTTTGTTAAATGTATTAATAATAATTCTTAATGTGGTGGTTCGATTATTATGAAAAGATTTGATTAAAATGTTTAATATATTGGTTTACATTAAGATATTGTATTTATATTAAATCAATTATCATTATTGTTTCTTCATAATTTGATAATAATAATCTAAGAGGATTAATTATTAAATTCTATCAGATTTATTATATTATATTATATCTAGATAATTATCAATTTATTTAGATAACAATTCTAAACAGGAGATTTGTTCTGAAATAATTTCACAAACATATCAAAATACATTTATCTTAACATCAAATAAATCTAACACTCCATCGTATCATCTCAAAAAGATTTCATAAAAAATTATAATAAAAGAAAAGAAAATCTCAAAATAAAGAAATGAAATCAATAATAAAAATAATATAATATCGAAAAGGGATGATTTAAACAAAAGAAATAATATATAGATATATTTATCGATAATTAACGAAAGAAACGACCCTGACTGTAGCATATTATTATTATTATTATTAATCGAAGTCAAAGAGATTAAACTGAATTAGAGATAAGTGGAACGTTAAAAGAGAGAAGAAGAAAAAAAATAGAATGGTGATGGGGTGGTGGTGGTGGTTTGATGGAATGGGAACGGGCAAGCACAGATCCAGGATGATAATAAAGAGTATGGTAGGTGAGGGAGAGGAAGAAGGGTGGGGCGTGCTTGGAGGATGAAGAAGAAGGGTATAACCTCCTCTAACTTTAGTGGTTCCCTTTGTGAAACATTTAAAGTGCGTCCCTTGGTCCTCTCGGCAGCAAGCCGGCTTAATTAGCGCTTGGATAATATGTCTCATACTCGTTTGCTACATTTTACATATATATATACCTATATCTTTCTCTTTCTTTCTTTCCTACTTTTTATTTTATTCCCTCCCCCCCCTTTATTTCATTTTTTTCCTTTTTCCTGTGGTTTATCACTCGAACTCTGTACTATGCCTATATACTTAATCCCTGGTATACACATACATATACAAACATATATATATGAGTGAGGGGTTGGGTTTGGGGAAGGTGTATGTATGTGTTATGTATGTCTCTTTCTCTCATCTTTCGAGTTTGAGGGGGCTTTTGTTTCGCGGCCTTCGACCGTGAGATAATTCCTCTGGTGAGATAGAAAGAGATAGGAAAAGGAAGCTCAACGTTAATGTCGACCCTTTTCTTCTATTGGTCTCCTTTTCCTCTTTCTCCCTCCCTTTACTCATCCCTTTTCTCTCTTGGGCATTACCATTCTCTTTCTCTTTCTATTTCTCTTCTGCGTACTTTGTATAATTTTGTTCCACATTACTTATACCAATTTATAAAATCTCTTTGTCTTTTGTACTCAACTGGCGACAGAAATTGTACTGAAACATTTCTGCTCTCTTTCTCTTTCTTTTTCTTGTAATTCTCTTCTTCCTTTTCTTCTTCTTCTTCTTCTTTTTTTGCTTTTTCATTGGCCAACCAACAAACAACACCCTCTTTCATCCCTATCTTCTTTTTTATTTTTATTTTTACATACAAGTAATATTAATACTTTGTCGAAAGGAAAACATCTTAAATGTTTCAACACAACACTGTGTGTCCTCTGATATTCTTTTTTCTTTTTTTTTTCTGTTGAATTCCTCATGGTATATCTTTACCAGGATTAAATTAAAAATTGTAAATATTAAAATCAATTGAACGTGTGTAAAAGTTCATCATAAAACAATCAACCGATCACTCCTTCCTCCCCCTCCCAATAGTCAAACATTTTTAGGGATTGTACCGCGTACACAGGGAACAATTAGTTTCCCATTAAATCTGTCACGTCTTTCAAATCCAAGGGAAATCGCATTAATAATTATTGTTAGCTTCATAATTAGCAATGACACACCACCGACGGATGAAATGGCTGGAAGGGTAGTTAGGAATAGGGTTGGGGAGGTGGGTGAGGGAAGGATACGATGATCATCATCATCATCATCATCATCATCATCATACAGAGAGAGAAGAATGATGAGGGTATGGGGTGGGTTGGTGTGAGGGAGGAATACAAATGCCATAGGAAGAATCGTCACACAGAATTCAGATCCATGTCGATTGTTAATACTCGGATTCTATCTGTTCATATCTCAACATATCCCAATCCTATATTGCCATTAGGTTGGTGGGGGTATGTGTGTGTGTATAATAGTATACGACAATGATTGACAGTTACTCCCTAGAGTGAAAGGATAATTCAGTAGGTTGCCTCGTTCGTTTCATGTACGACCAATAATCCGTTTCAAAACTGGCCGTCGATTTTCAAACGATGAGATTGTTGTGGGGTATTGGTGTTGGTGTTTGGTGGGTTGGGGAAGGGGGTGGTGTACCAGTAGATTTTCAAAAGGCCCCAGGTATTCCCTAAGCTAATTGGGATTGACTTTGTCATTAGTTAACTAGAAAAGAGATGGAAATATAGGAACGATTAAGAATGATCACTAACAACAAATGGAATATCTTCTCTATATATGTTTATATGGTGAAATAATATAATAAAAGGATTGTGACATATTTTTCTGAGACCATAGATCACATATTATTGATGATCATTATTGTTGTTCATATTTTAATTAAACTAATCATTTCCAAAAACAAAAAAGTAAAATAATTGAAACCTGATGTTGAAGTTGTCCCTCAATTATAGGGGTTTTACTGAACAAAGTATATATGACGAGGAAAATAAATTATAATATAGTCATTAGAATTTATTATTTGATTGTTTGACGATCACGAGAAGAAATTTCTCCTTTTTCCCCCAGAAAGACTCCAATCCTGGCTCCGGGTTATGTATGTTTTTTTTTTCTTCTTCTTTTTCTTCTTCTTCCTTTTACCAACCCCCGCCCCCCCTTCTTTTTCAACTCTAGCAAGGCGACTTTTCTCTCCTTCTCTTTAACTACTCAGCTCTCGCTCTGACCGAAGGGAGGAAGAACTTTTTAATTGGGCACCCTTAATTAGTTAACCAGCGAAGTCTCGGTAATTATTCTGTTTCTCGCTCTCGGATATCGTGCGGTTACTTTTCTCTACCTACTCATATACCTTTACCTACCCCTATCATCTACCCAACCCCCACAACCCCCAGCCTATCTTTTTCTCCCCCTCTTCCCACTACCATTTTCCTTTCCTTCCTTCACACACACATATTTCTTCCTGCTCTTCCTCTCCTGTCCTCTCCTCTCCTCCCTTACTCGAATTTCTACCCCTCGTAGTATGCCGAGGATGATTAGCGATATTTACTCAACTTTATGCCCAATGAATGCGAAGATACGAGCAAAGAAACGCATTAAATTCGATTACTGGTGTTTTGATATGGATGTTGTTACTAATTGTCCGATATAATTATATATTATTTCTTCTCCAAGCTTCCAGTTAAATAATTGGGAAACACATTGTAATTATTTTAAATCTTACTGTTTAGAAATATAAAAAAAAGAAGACCCTTGAGAAGTTGATTAAAACTTATAATAGTTGGAAAAATGGTAACAGTGTTGTTGTCAATCAATGCATTTGATTTGTTGTTTCGAAATTTTGTTTTTCAGAAGGTGGTAGACAAATAGGACCTCACGCATGTACAGTTTGTCAAGACGTTGTTGAAGGAAACGCCCAGAGTCGTGCATTACCACGTAGCCAAGCTTCCCAGTACGGTTTAAGGGAGGATCAAGTACCACCAGGTGCAAGAGTATGTAATACCTGCAGATGCAAAGCCGTTAGAGGACGTTATACGGCCTGTCCATTGCCTGGTTGTCCTAATCTCAATAATAGTAGTTCCAAAACCAGAGTTAAACGATTACGTGCACTTCCAGCCAAATGGCTTGACTTACCAGCTGAAATTAGAGAACAAATTATTCAAGAATTTCGTAAGTATATCATTTTCTAACATATTTACGTATTTATTATATATTTTGTTCTATTTGTTGTTGTTGTTGTATTCATTAAGTTTGAATTTAATTTGGAAATTTTTCGCAGAGATACCCAGTAGCACTACCAAGTGTTGTTCAGCATGTTTCAATCGAATATCAAGAAGATTGGCATCACATTTAACCGGTGGTGGTACAGACATTTCCGAGGATGGTACAGATTCCTTGACGAGACAATGGACCGATGATGAATTGGATCAATTGAAAAGGGCATTGCGCGAGCACGGCACCAATTGGTCAAAAGTTGCTGACAAAATTCCGGGAAAAACTAATCACCAGTGCAAAAATTATTATTTTACTTATCGGAAAAAGTATTGCTTGGATCAAATAGTAGCCGAATATTATCAATCTTTGGGCGAAGAAAGAAGACCGTGTTTAACTGATGAAGAAGAAAGTGGTAGCAGTACGAGTAGTTGCGACGAATTAGCTGTAAATATTTGTTTCTCTTTTTTTTCTTTTTTTATCTTTTATATATTCGTCAGTTGTATGTGTAAAAATCTCAAATAATACTAACAAATAATTAAACGCGATGTTTTGTTGTTGAATCTTGATTAAATTCATTCATTCATTCAGGTGCATGATTCGAGTGACACGGCAAGTGCTGGTAGTCCAGCTAACAATGTAACCGGCAGTACAACAGCACAAACAACATCCTCGACGTCGTCAACATTGCCTATTACGTTTGCACAATCAATAGATTCTAAAATGGGAGAGAAACTAACAGAAATAGCTGTTGTTTCTTTGATTCCACCAGTTAGCATTGGATCATCTCAGCAATCCTCGGCCAGTGGAGGTGGTGCTGGTGGTGGTAGTGGTACTATCGTATCGGCGGGCAATAGAGAAGATTACGATAGTTCTGCCACGGTAAGATGGCACTAAAGTTGTTTTAGATCTTCATAGAGAGAGAAAAAAAAACAATTGTAATTTAATGTTTTTTTTTTAAATTTTATATAAAAGTATTAAACGCTTTTTACGATAGTTTGTATAAAATATTAACTTGAGTAGTTTTTTATCAGTTTTGTTTATCTATTTTATTTTGCTGCTTATTACAGGGTGAAACCAAAAATTATTTATACAAAAGATTTTATCCTATCGTTAATTTTATAATGTGTACACAAAGTTTGCTTTAAAAATTTGACATAAAAAAAAGAGGGTTTTGTTGAAACTTTGGATCCACCCTGGATTACATATTAGATAGAAAAATATGATCTTTTAACAAGATAGGGCCGTCTGATAGAGGTTCGGTGATTGTTTCAGGAGACAGCGGACGAAGGTCAGGGTGGTGCAGATTTGGACAATAATAGTGTTGTTGTGACACTGACTACTGCCAGCAATAACAATTCATCATTGCAACAACATCCGCAAGCACCACCGGTAGTGCATTCGCCGCCATCAACTAAGAGTAGTAATAACAATCCTCTAACAGTGAAAGATCTCATGTTAGGCGTGATAGAGATGCAACTGAAAAGAAATCCGAATAGTCCAGCTGGTACCGGTGATTTATCGGTGCCCGTTAATTCCGGTACACCGACGATATCGAGTATTTTACAATCGGATCATTTGGATAATCACCCTCTTTTTAATCGTGATTTCAATCAGAGTATCATCAAAGCTGCGATGGCAAGCCGAGAGGCAAATTTGGCAACACTTTCTGTAGTATCGGGTCCTCATCACAGTCATCGTTCTGCACCGAGTCCTCAGCAAATTGGTAAGTTTGATATAAATATTAATAAAACATTGCGAAAGTTTGAAATTTAGATTATAACAATTGATACGATTATTTTATTTTATTTTGTGTAGGTCAAATGCAAGCAACTATCACTCCTTGTCCACCTACAACGCTTAGTAGTCAAAGTTCATCATCGGATATGTTACCTAAGGAAGGCCTAGTCGTGATGCAAGTACAACAGGCATTACGTGAGACCGAGGGTACCCTCGACTTGAGTATCAAAAAGCCAAGACAACAACAAGAATACAATCACACGATGCAAACTATTCATAAACCATCAACAGTAACAATTTATCGTTCGGAACCACCTCTTGGTTCTTTCTATCATCCGCACCCTCATCCCGATCAAGGACGAGGAGCTAAGAGTCCTCTGATTTATGCCTCCTCGCCTAGACCACAAGCTCCTCTAACACCGAAAATGAACAAAGTATCCGTACCACCACCTCTTCCAAAATTATCACCGAAGTTAAGCAGCATTGGAACAGCTACTCATAAAGGTGGATCCATCACTCATGGTACACCAGTCTCGAGTGCACGTTACGAGGGTTTGCTAAGACAAATGACACCTCCTGGTAATCCGAGTAGTGGTGTGAGTACTGCAAACGTACCAACTGGTGGTGGTGGTTCGGTGGTGAACACTTCGGGAAGTCAAGGTCCGAAAGAAGCTGGCTCGATAACTCAAGGTACACCGGTTCATCCGTTCACGGTAGAAAAACGTCCACCAATGTACGATTATCGTACCATTCGACACTCACCCGTGACTACTGGAAACGTTCCTGGACAAGGCCAGGTTCAGTCAGCGGCAGCCACTGTAGTGGTAACTCATAGCAATCAATATAATTCTTACTCGAGTCGACCACCACCTAGTTACACGATGGAACAACAATTGTCCTCAAGACAGTTGATCATGAACGATTACATAACCAGCCAACAAATGCACGCTCGTAGTCGTGGCAGCAGCGGTACCTCGGAAACCGCGGCTAAGAACGAGTCACCTTCCACACTTTACTTTCCCAGTACACCACCACCTCAAACGCACACACAAAATCGTCAAGGTGTCATACAGAGGCATAATACACAGAAACCGATACATTATGCACCACCCCCGCCTGGATTAGAAGCGTTCTCGAGTCTGGTAGATGTTGCGGTGCAACAACCGAGTCTTCCAGTTCCACATCCCCATAGTCATTCTGCTTCGGGCAGTGGTGGCCACGAAGGATTAGGAAAAACAATGGCGGATAGATTGTTAGCTGATCGATTCGTCGATAACAACAGGGTATTCCGCGAACAAGAGATACGCATGCAAGAACATCGTATGGCGATCCAACAACAGCATCAAGTTGAACACAGAATGGCTCTTGCGCATCATCATCAACGTGACAGAGAAAGGGAACGCGATTTGGTTCATTTGCGTGAAAAAGAGGAACATAGGTTGCAAAGAGCAGAAAATGAATATCATTTGGAACAACGTTTGGCTGTTCAGCAACATCATCTACGCGAGAAAGATATTCAACAGGAACACCGTTTGATCCAACAACGTGAGAAAGAAATACAACACGTAGATCATAGATTATCGGCACAGCAAAGGGAAAAAGAGATACAACATGCAGAACAACATCGCATGTCCGTTCATCATCAACAGAGAGAAAAGGATATGCACCAACAAATGGCAGCGGCTGCTGCGGCTCACAGGGAGAAAGAACATCAGGAGCATCGTTTGAGCGTTCAGCAACGAGAAAAGGAGATACAACAAGAAAGGCTTGCTATGCATCAACAACAAAGGGAGAAAGAAATTCAACAAGTGGAACATCGTTTGGCTATGCAACAAAGGGAACGAGACTTTGTACATTTGCATCAACAACAACAGCAACAACAACAACAACAAATGCAACAGCACATTCAACAACACCATCGCTTGGAAGCCGAGAGACGACACATGGTGCAATTATATCGTGACCAACAGCAACAGCAACAACAACAACAACAACAGCAACAAATAGACAGGGAATCCTCGAGATTACTGAGCAGCGGATTTTCACAATCCTCAAGACTTCAACAACCACAGCAACAACCATCCCAACAACCATCCCAACAACCATCTCAACAACCATCCCAGCAACAATCGCAATCATCCTCCCGTCAACAAAATCAATCCTCTAATCAACAACAAAATGAAACTTCGTCGACTTTGACTGCAGCTAGTTTGATAGATGCCATTATAACCCACCAGATCAATCAAAGCGTAGAGAATGCTGGAGGACGTGCAGTGTCCAATAATCAACCTACTCGACCAGGCGATCGACTATTCCAAGTAAGACAATAATATAAATATTCAATAATAATAATTATATATACTAAATTAATCCTGTAATAATTATTATTAAATAATTATCCATAAAAGTATATGTGCAAAACTAGAAAAGTACAATATATTTCTAGGAATTCCATCTAGACACGCAGACAGAACCTAATGGCATGGTACACAGTCCAGCCGGTGAGGGAAGAGGAAATGGCGGAGCAGGTGGTGGAAGTGGCAGCGGAAGTGGAAACAAGGCTATTACTCTAGGGGAACATGTCGATCACATTGTAACTAAGGATTACGGGCCTCCACATTCTTCATATAGATCTTATACTGGGTAAGAATCTTCTTTGGAAGAAAACTTATCGAAATACAATCGGATAAAAAATAAATATTATTGCTGTGTTGTATAATATGCAAACGTTATATTCAAAAAAGAAACAATAATAATAATAATAACAATCATAAAAAACTAGAGTCTCTGTACGGTTTCCCTCGTACGATAGATATCAAATTTCGGAGGAACAATGGAAGTTGCGGAAAGGAAACGAAGCTGATTCCGTGAAGACTGGTGACGAGCGACAGATAATACGAGTTGCTCAACAACAATCCCAACAGCAGCAGCAACAACAGCAGCAGCAGCAGCAACAACAACAACAACAACAACAACAACAGCAGCAGCAGCAGCAGCAGCAACAACAACAGCAGCAACAACAGCAACAACAGCAGCAGCAGCAGCAACAACAGCAACAACAACAACAATCCTCATCCTCGGTGGGGAAGCAACAGTTTCATTCCGTCGAACCGGTCTCTCCTCCGGAAGCTAACACGAATCATTACGGGCGTCGCTTTTATGAAACGAGCACTGCCACCTCAACTTCCGGTACACCCTCTAACAAACCACACCTATCTCCACTGGACTACGTTAAAAATAAAATCGTGGAGGTGATGCGTACGTCCGAAGATGATAAACCCGGATCAACGGGAGGCGGAGGAGGAGAAAGAGAAAGAGAAAGAGAAAGAGAAAGAAACGGTGGAGGAAGCGGCGGAGGAGGAGGAGGTAGTAGTGGTGGAGGAAGTGGAGGTGGTTCAAGTGGTACCGTTGGTGGTAATACTGGAGGTTCCACCGGTGGTGGTGTTGTCGGTAACGGTGGTACATGTGGTGTAGTAGGTAGTGCTGCTGGGGGAGTTGTTAACAGCGGCACTGGTAGTGGTAGTGGTGGTGGTGGTATTAGTGGTAGTGGTAGTGGTAATAGTGGCAGTGGTAGTGTTGTTACCGGTAATAACCCTGTGTCAGGTACTGGAAATTCATCGACCGTTGAAAAAGACGATAAATCCAATATGAACGTCGATAGTCCTGCTAACAGCGAAATGATAGTCGACGATACATCCAACAAACAAGCCCAACAACAATCAGCTAATCAAGCTACCCCAGCTCCGCCAGCTCCCACTACTACTTTTTATCCGTTCAGTGCATTGGGTGTTCACACTGGACCACCTCCAGCACCTCCACCTCCAACCTCGGTCTCATCTGCCGTATCCAAATCCGAACAGATGCAACCGGAACCGGCACCTTTGCTTTCCGCGCAATACGAGCCACTTTCGGACGAAGATTGATAGTCTGTTGTTAATACTTTTTTAGTTAAGGGCAAGTCGAAACGCCATGACGCTTCTTTTATTAGGATATCGAGACGGTGTCGTAATAATTTTCGACATGTACGAATTGGATAGGACACGTGTATAGATTGCATACATATGTTAAAACATACACAAACACACACACACTCATACACTGTCGGATGATAAAAATTAGCCCTTCTTTTTCTTATTTTTTATGTCTTTCTTTCTTTCTTTCTTCCATCTTTTGTTCGTTTTAATTTACTCAAAATATCAGTGAGCGATCAATTAAGGACTCTACTTAATTTTTTTTTCTTTTTCTTTACATCTCTTGTCTTATTTCCTCTTTCCTTCATTTTTGTTTATATATATATATATATATATAAATTTGTCATGAAATGTATACTTTGTAACGAAATGACAACACAGGGGTGCGTTTTAAATAAATTAGCAAAGAGAGGAAACACGACGTGTGTTTCATTTTTTATATAAATTCAATATTATTATTATATATTATATTATATATATTTTTTTTCTTCTCTTTTCTTTTCTTTTCTTTTCTTTTCTTTTAATTCGAACGTCATTCCCATTGTTGCTACTCTCATCTCGTTGCAGATGGCGATGTTGCAAATAATATAAAAAAAATTGGCGAAACATTTTCTTTTTTTTTTATACGACAATTAATAATATCGTCTGTCAAAGGATTTCGATAAATATATTTTTTTGTTTAATTGTGCAAGTAAAAAAAAAACAAAAGAAAAGAAACCAATTTCTTTATTGTGTCCTTGCGTGTTTTTTGACGATGCGTAAAATTGCGATAATTATTAAGGACAGAGGAGAGTGAGTCAAACGAATTAGAAGAAAAAAAAATAAGATTCATTTCATGATTTACATCGTAAGAAAAACAATCAATGGTATTTGAAATATTTATTTGCAAATGTCAAAGTTTTATAAGGATACCTTCGAACAGTAATATGTAACGTTAATCATTGGAGAACGAATTCCTTTAATTTGAAAAGAAAGAAAACAAAAAAGAAAAGGTAAAAATGAGAAATAAGATTATAAAAAGAATGACTAATTGGATAGCTATTTTCTTCAAACAACAATTGTTACATTTACTGAAATTACAAAATGTCAACGATCATTGATAATGTGTTGTAAATCATGAAATTCATTTTCTTTTCTTTTTTCTATTTTGTAACTCAATCAATTGCCATACATTATTGGTACGTGTACATATAAAATTATTATTATTATTATTATTATTATTATTATTATTATTATTATTATTATTATTATTATTATTATTACTATTATTATTATTATTATGTTATAAATGATTCGATCATCTCGTCTA